GCCCCTAATATGGACCCTTAGACCTTTTTAGGGACCCTTAAGGGTACATATAGGGTATATAGTAGGTATATAAGGATCCCAGGGTTAAGGGCCCATACTAGGGGCCCATGGTTTTAACCTTAGATACTTCAAGTTCCTTAAAAGCATCCCGGTTTAGGTCTGTGGAGCAGATCTTCACTGCTGCCTCGGAGGTGATGCGCATTGCAAAGGGCGGCTACAGCGTCGTGGTGCTCATTACAGGATGCCTCCCAATGACCATGCTGCTAGTCTAGTGCTTGAGTGTGTTGCCGAAGTAGGCCTTAATCTTCGTATTCGAAAGGCCATATCCTCATTACTGCTGTCGTCATTATGAACTGATGGGTTTTGGAAACTGCACGAGTGCTGTTTTCCTGGATGCTTTGTCTTCTTCGACCATGGCAACTATGTACCACTTACACGGGCTTACACAAAACCATCTCCGCTGCCGTCACCAGCCCCAGTGCCTCTGCCGCGCTGTCCCGCCGCCGCCGCCGTGCCGCCGCCACTGCCACGTCCACCGCCACCGTCACTGGTAGTGTTACTGCAACAGCTTCAAACAGTTGAAACTGCTGGTACGACAACTGCTTATGCAACAACTGCTGTGTTTGCTATGACGACGACGACGACGAGGACGACGACGAGGACGAGGACGAGGACAAGGTCGAGGATGAGGATGAGGATGAGGAGGAGGACGAGGAGGACGAGGAGGACGAGGAGGACGAGGAGGACGCGGACGAGGACGAGGACGAGGACGAGGTCGACGTCGACAACGACAACAACAACAACAAGAAGATGAACTAGTATGGGTACTACTGCTAGCACTGGTATTAGTATAGCACTAGCACTAGCACTAATACTTGTACCACCAGAAGGGCGACAACTACCACTACCGCCGCCGCCATTACTATAGTAATTCCATCTTCTACTGCTGCTTCTTCTCCTTTGTGTTACCTCTTAATGGTCGCATCACAGGAGCTGGTATCCTGGCCTTCAGGGATGTTTATGGCATTCGCCCGCTAGTGATTGGCCAGCGCCGTGAGGGGACACACGCAGATTACATTGCAGCCTCAGGCCCAGCTGGGGGCTTCCAAATCATGGGGTTTCTTGCTGGTGGAAATTTCCCGGGGGTATATAAGACGGAGCCCTAATGTTCGGAAAAGTCCAGATCTTTTTCAACCACTCGCCTGTCTTTATTTTCGCGTGCGTTTGCATGCTTAGCTCCCGGCGGATTGACAGTATTATGAGTTTGAGGACAGCTTCCAAATCAGAAAAACCTCCCCCCCAAACGGGCCCAGACTTGAACCTGGAGAAAGGGGCCCGGTTTTTGGAAACTTCCATCTGCTCCCTGAGAGTCGGTGGTGATGGACACGCTGGGGTTCGATACGTTGCGTGATGTGGATCCCGGAGAAGCTGTCTTCTTTGATAGCCGCACAGGCGGCTCCATGTCCTCAAAGCAGTGCTTCTATGAGTCTGCGGCGCCTCAGCTGACGCCGTGCATATTTGAGTACGTTTACTTCGCAAGACCCGATTCTACTATGGACGGGGTGGCGGTGTACGAGTCCAGAGTGCGCATGGGACGCAGCTTGGCACGGCGAGTGCAGCAAGTGGCTGACTGGCAAGAGATTGATGTCGTAATTCCGATTCCTGACACTTCGCGGACAACTGCCATCGAAACAGCGTACGTCCTGCAGCGCCCGCTGCGCGAGGCTTTTCAGAAGAACAGGTACATTGCCCCATGGCTGGTCTGGAGACGTATCTGTCAGTTTTACAGAGAGCAGCAGGTTTGCATGCTGTAGCTAGTATAGTGCCACTATACAGTGGGGGAGATTCATCCTGAGGGGGGTGGGGAGGGTCATTATTAGACGGGAGGGCGCCCTTCAGCTTTGCAATGCGTGTGAGAGCTTGGAGGGATCCTCCGAGGCCTCCCTGAAAAAACCAAAGCTGAACAGCCCCTAACTATAAGTTCTAAACCCTACAGTCCCCCTTAAGTAGATAGAATATGGCTTCGGGTATATTATGAAAATATCCCCATATCTCCCATATTCTATCTACATAAGGGGAACTATAAGCTCTAAGCCCGAAGCGGTAAACTCTACAGAGCCGAGGCACGGACTTTCATCATGCCGGGGCAGCAGAAGCGACGGAAGACGATGAGGCTGAAGCTCAATACCATCCGCAGCGAGTTCAAGGGAAAGAAGGCGGGGAGAACCAGGGGAGCGCTTGGGTTTTGAGAAACCTTTTATGGGGTTTGGGGGGGCATATCTTTATGCAAGCTGTGGGCAAGCCAGGCAGAACCATGAAACAGCATGCGGAGGCAGGAAACCCTGCCTTGCCTTGCTCTTATCAGATTCCGCACCCTGAATTACATTAATGATCAGTGAGGATGATCACTACGATACTGAAACATAGATGGTAATGCAATAGGAGTACTAGCAATAATCGAAATTATGAACTCCACAGGTACTCCTAGTGGACGACTCCATCGTCCGCAGGGAACTCAGCTACGATTTGAAGCTTCAGTGCGCAGAATTGTCTGCGTTGTAGGGTTACGGGGTTGCATCGGGATGTTTGAGCGAGTGTGTGGGATAATCTGTGTTTCAGTAGTGTTTGTGGATTGAGGGCATCGCGTTTTGCCGTCCAGTCTTGAAGCTCTCCCTTTGCTCTTAATCCAAAATTCCTGTTCGTATAATAAGTGAACCTGATGAGTTTGAACTGGAGGTGATCCAATCTGGAATGCTTTCTTTGAGAATGAAAGGGTGTTGCCTATCAAGGGATGGTTCACTGCGAAAGTGTCCTGAATCTTCGGACAGGCTTCGAAGGCAGCAGCAGGCCTCATCTACATTGAAATCATGTGTTCACTTGCTGGTATATCTCCGGATAGCCTGGCATGGCCAGTCCGGTTGCATCATATTTACAATGAGAAAACCGCATTCGCAGTAAGACTTGCCTGTGCAATGTTTGGTCAAAGGATGTGTGTGTGGTTCCAAAGTTAATCTGTTAATTTGTTGGGGGAAGTGGCTGCTGAGGTGGGACAACTTGCAACGAGATCATTCAGATGGCAAGGGAGGCATGGTGTGCAGTGATGACGATTTCAGGGGACCACACTCAATCCCAATCTAGTTTTAGAAACTTTCAAGAAGGCCTGATGCTGAGGGCTGGCTAGTTGTAGGTGAATGGTTAGATAGCCTTTGAGGTTTCGTTGGATGATAGATTCTTGCCTCATCAGCTTACTACTTGGGAGAAGTCTCACATGAACCACAGAACACATTCGCTTGGATCTCGCTATCACGCGATAGTAGCCCATGTGACATGCCTGTAGAAAGAAGTTGAACGACCAGCAAGAGACGAATCGGTCAGCCATGCATCTTTGGGCACCAAAATTCAGTGGCCGGCACTCAACCCCATAATGCTATCCTGCTCCATGTTGAAGCACCTGAAACAGACACACGAAAAAAACCTAGATCCTGAATCTGACGTGATACAAGATGACAACGTCGCTGCCAGAGCCACAGCTTTCAATTTTCCTCAAAGCATTGGCTGGCTTGGATGCAAGTAGGCGAGTCTCTAGAAGGCGGGTTTGGAAGGCATCACACAGGACCTTTTATCGCGGTTCAGCAGTAAGTAAACTCTCCTTCAGCACCAGTACGTAAAGTCAACTCCTTAATACAAGAAATCTTTGCACTCCTCCCTAAGCACCAGTAAGAAGTTTGCTCCCTAAACCCTAAAACCCTAAACCCTAAATCCTAGACCCCAACCCCTGAACCCTAAACCCTAAACCCTAAACCCTGATCCCTGAAACCCTAACCCTGAACCCTAAACTCCTGTAAGCAACCTCCAGGCCGGAGCCAGCAAGGTCTTCTTTGCGTCGGCCGCGCCTGCCGTCCGATTTCCCAACGTGACCTGCCTGTTACTGCAATGTAACCCAGACCCATGATTAATAAACCCCCTCCCCTTAATAGGGATTGTAATAGGGTCCTAATACTTAGGGCCTTAAAAGGAGGGGTTTATTAATCATGGGTCTACATTAGTGTTAGTTACTATATTGGGGAAACCATGTTTTTTTGCTATGTATACCCATTGTGGTAACTTAATTTAGATGACTTAACAGGAACCCAGTAGGCATGCGTCCGCAACCAAAAAGGATGCAATTAACCAGGGTTCCAGTAATGGGGCCTAATTCATTCTCGAAATTATGTTGAAGTCTATTTGAGGTTGTACAAGGCATATATTCTCCCGGCTTCCATATTCCATTTTCTCTTCCATATGATTTTAGGGGCCCTATTTTTTTTGGGATTTTTTTTTGTTTCTTTTTGGGATTTTTTTTTGTTTCTGTGGTTCCTGATTATGTGTAGTGCCTACTGCTCTTCTCTCTGGTTCTGCTTGATGGTTTTTGCTTCTTGCTTTTTGCTCCTTGCTTTCTGCTTCCCTCTTTCTGTTTTTGCTGTTTTTGCTTCTTGCTTTCTGCTCTCTATCGCTTCTGCTTTCTGCTGGTT